ATGATTAGTGTAATGGTGGTAGACTTGGAGAGACATCACAAAAGATTTTGGTTCTTTCAGTTTTTGTTTCAGCATGAGGAGTACTTTAATGAGTAGCAATTTAATATTTGATTCTCTTTATCCTCCTTGTTCAAAAATAGCTTCCCCACCCTGTAAATCAATAGAAATTAAAGCAGAAAATACTGTGGTTTTAAGTTTTAAAATTTAAAGCGCTATGAAGTATGAAGGTTGCCTACCTACTTTTGGTTTTAATTGGAAAAGGCCAATGCTTTTTAACTGACAAAGGGAAAAAAAAAAATCAAAGTTCCTTTGCTTTGTTCATTTTCAGCATTGGCTCACTAAGTATGTTTAATATGAAAACAACACTAAATGACCATCTATAACTTGTGCTAATGATGACTCTTTTCTTCTTTTTTACATTTTGACCTTGATGAAAATGATTAACCCTTTTCTAGTTTCTCTTCCCTTTTCTTGTGTATATTCAATTCCTAATTCTTGATATATAACTGTTAAAGAATAACTGATCAATTGAATGGCGTATTGACATGTTAATGTGATTGTGAGTAAGAGCTCTTAGGCTCATTAAGTAAGTGAAAAAGACTAGCTGGTCTAGCTTAAAGAAGTTGTATCTAAAGCAAGCCCTCCACACCCCCCCCCCCCCCCAAAAAAAAAAAAGATCTCTAAATAATCTAAGACAACCATTAAGAATAGTTCCTAACAATCATTTAGAGATGAAGTCGCTATCAGAGGTTTATGATTCCTAATGCACATTCAACACATCTTAACGAGGATCTTGCGTAATTATGGTAATTTAAATTGTTCAGTCACATGAAGAGAGAAAAATAGGGACTATCAGTATCTGTAGAGGACCCCATATGATCAACTAACACCATTGAATGATAATCATGCTAATTATTCTACGAGGTCTCTTTCAATTAAAGTGATGAATAAAAAATTTTAAAATGTAAAACATTGCGCCAAGAGAACATACCAGTCAATTTTAATTTTATATCATGACTAGGAACTTCGTCCAAAAAAAAAAAAAAACCTCTAATATCATATTAAGAACTGTTTAGAAAGCACCAAGATGACAGACAAAAAAAAAAAAAAAGTTAGATGAAGAAATGAAAAAAAAAGAGGGGCAAAAGCTTAAGATGAAGGAGTTAGAGAGGTGATTGATGGATGGAAAGTTGAGAAGGCTTTTCGAATTGGATTACAGTTGCAGATTGCTTGTGGTTGCCCTGTTATTCCAACTGGCAAACATGTCCTCTGAAAAGAATCATAGAAGAGGAAAAGAAAACCAGCAAAAGGACAATCCATTTTCAAGACATGGGTCACTCCAACTCAACGTTTTGATTTTTATCCAATAATTATTAAGAAAAATCAGGTAAAAAAAAAAAAAGGGAGAAAATGTTGAGTAAAGCATAGCTAAGAAAGAAAAATGGACTCTGTTTGGTTTTAACTTTTCCTAATATCTAATAGGGGCATAGCCAAACCAAACACATCCATAAATCATATGATGATGTATTGTGGCAGTTGTAAAAGGGGGAGATGCATGGCGGGCATGCCATCATGGCGACTTTTCTCAGCAGGCCTGAAATTAAGGCATCAAATCCAGAAACAAATTCAAGAAAAAGGTTCAGGCCTTCAATAATTATTATTAACCAGGGGTAAAGTGTAAAAGACATTATTTGACATAATTGTGATAGGCTCACAACATTGAGACACCATATCAGCATACTTGTCCGTGCAGACCATGGAGTATCCATGGGTTGTAGGAAAAAGACAGCCTCGTTTTCATTGCAAATTTAGACAGTTTAATAATCACATCTCTTGCTCCTTTTAAGCTTTCTCCAACTTTCATGCATGGTGGTTCAGAAAGAAAGCTTCAAAGTGAAAAAATAGACACAATGATCATGCTGATGTTTTGTTTTACTAGGCACTGATGATTTCTCATGCAAACCCTGAAGTATCTTAAGACTCAGTTTGTCCATACCAGATTAAGTTCACTTCCCCTAGTCAATTAAGGCCATAGATATATGGTGAGAAAGAACTTTTCAAGAAATTATACCATCTTGTGACATTTCCTCAGAATTGAATTTTGATCAACAGGCTTGCTAACTAGGCTGCCTATTGGAATTGCTGGGACTCTAACATTGAAAAATAAAACTATAAAATCAACAATAAATCAGGGTAGTGATGATGATACCCCAACTCTCTGGTATCTCCAATGCAATATCAAAATGCTTTAACACTTTATGAGGGGAAAAAAAAAAAGAAAAAGAAAAAGAAAAATTAAAGATGCAGTATGGTGTTTATGTTTCATTTGTGGTGGGCGTGGAGATCGGCTTTATTTAATTTTAGATAATCAAATTTTAATCGAAATCAAATGCTAGCATGATTGCATAATGGCCCCCAGTTAGTAAAAAAAATAAATAAATTCACTTTTTATAAGTTTTGTGGTGATTATAATAATATCAAATACAGAATTTCCCTAACCATAATAGATTATGGGCAACTTCCTATCTCTTGCTGGTAGACAGCCACCTACTCAATTGGGCCATCTTTCAAAGATTATATTCTCCTACCAGAGAAAAAACAGTATCAAGGGGAAAACATGGAGCAAATCTTAAAATATCTTTAAAACAATATGTTTAATTTGTTTAATGTCGTAATAACAAAAAACGTGAAAACATACTTGAATTAAGAAACAGAATCAAAATTCTAAACAAATGGAACCGATGAATTTTCAAAGGTTCAAGTTTCAATCAGCTGTTGAGGAGAGTACTTTAGAACTATTTATAGGCTCTCAATAGTGTTCAATTAGATATGGCATGGAAAAAGAGAAAATCATCCTATTTAGATCCTTCAAAGTTTGTGATGGTACCTTAGAAATATCCTCTAACAAAATTTTTCTTTCAAAATCATGCCAAAGTATCTCAAATGTGCACTAACTATCTATTGTTCTTGTCTATATATCCATTCTTGGAGATTTTAAATTTGAATTTTTTTTATTTAAATTGAGAAGTGCAATGCAATTACTACACATTAAATCAAAAAACCTAATTATAAGACATCATACTTATGTCATGAAAAATATACGATCCAAGAAGCATCCAGCAAAATATAAGAGAGAAAAAAAATTATATGATCCATTATTGATGTAAACCTGCATGATGCACAGCTAAAATGTTTGTTTATTTAGAGTCTTCTTAGTTTTTGGCCTTTTCACCTCTATGATATGAGAAGTTGAGAAAAATGACGTGAATGCAACAAAAGTCACAGCCATTTACACGCCAGCATTCAAATCTATCGAAAAAAGAACAAAAACATAACTAGATTAGACTTGTTGGCATGGAGTACACATCATAATTGGACAAAATTTATATAAAACACCAAATAAATAATGAAGAGAGTATGTGAGAGCTAAATTCTATAATTGGCACATTTTAAATTTTATCGGAACATGTTCTGTCGTGAAGCTTGACCATATCTCCATCAAAATCTGACAGGATAACGTTCCGATGCGGCCAGTTTACCTACTGATTAATCTAGTATAGCGCTCATCCACTCATAACAATAATATGCATTTCAAAAGTTCCCAAGTCTTGCATATTCTACAAGTCAAGGTGAGTAGGCACCAAACATTATAAGATTATTGGTTGGTACACTCAATACCTTATTTGGTATTGAAGTTCAAATCACGGTAATGCCGTGTTAATATTCCCTTCTCTTATTCTAAATTGTAATGAGAAATGTTATTGAGACAATTATTTTGTCTTATTTTTTTATACAACTTAATGTGTCATTAAATTGATTCTTTTAATTCATGTGCAACCGTAATATATGCATCAACTTATTTAATGATATGTGAAAGTTATATAAAAAAATAAGACAAAAAATTATCACAATAGCACCACCCAATTGTAACCATTCCAAAAAGAAAGAAAAAAAAAAAAAGGGTCAAGGTGAGTTGGAGGAAATTACCTCCTATTTTTCTGGATTACTACCTCGGGCATGTGCTAGACCATATGGACACATGGAGACTGGGCCAGTTTAATTTTGGATAGTCCATGAAGTGGAGAAAGGCCTAAATGATAGAGCCCGTTTTACTTCGGACTTTATTGGGTTCTATGTGGAGTATTAATATGCAAACTAATGTCATAGGGCCAATATCCTTGTCTTTTCTTCCTCGCAATTTCAGCCTGAAAGAAAGAAAGCTGGACCACACGCCCCTGACCCCCGGTGCCTGTTTTGCACAAAAGATGAGCATCATAATAACTACCATGTTTTATTCTTTAAGCAATGTATTACTTAGGATTGGGAGGGGCGGTTGCCTTACTTTAAAAGCATAATTATTCAATAAGATTATATATAAAAGGTCAAGGCATTACTCTATTTCTCAAGTGTATCTCGTAAAATACACTTATGGAGAGCTCAAACCGAAAAAAGAAGTTAAAAAAAAAATGGTTTCATAACAAAATTAGCATCATAGAGAACACGGCATACCTACCATGGAATCCTCATTGCTACTTTAGTTATAACGTGCAAGAGAAAGCAGGCCCTTGCTTTGCTGCCACGTCTGCAAAAGAATATAGGAAACAAATAAAAAAAAAAAAGAACACAGGGGACAAGCCATTCTTGATGACACACAGACACAGAAAGAAAATAAAACAGCCACTTAACCTGTATTGCGTCTCCGCAAGATGAAGTGACATAAAAATTGAGCATTAAAATTATACCAGAAACCAGAATTGTTGGCATAAAGTTATTTGATAACCCTCTCTCCTTGTTTGACTGGATAAGGGTCATTCAGGATTCATTGGCACTGCTAACTCCTTGAAACTTTATTCTTGTAATTGACTGGACTAAACATGGGATGAACCTTACCTTTCTGGAATTTGGCAAAAAAACTACTTTTTTTTTAGATTTGGGTGTTTGTTTCTTGCAAGGCATCATTAAGCAACATTCTCTCTACTTGCACTCAAAATTATGTCTGCCTTCATGGTTTATAAAGCAGAATTGCTCATTGGGAAAACATGTTGATGTTAAGGAGATCATACCAATAAGAGAAAGAAGTCTTACAAGTTTTGGGTAATGGAGACTAAGATAGAAGGAGCAGATGCATATCACCGGGATGCGGAGAAGGTACCACTTCTGAGAGATATGCCCATACCTGATGGGGAGAAGAAAAACCCAATACAGAAAGCGATCAGTCAGACTTTTAAGAGCACAGCATATTTGGCTAATCTTCTGCCTACCGGAACAGTTCTTGCTTTCCAACTTCTAGCACCGATATTCACAAACCAAGGCAACTGTGACTCAGTTAGCCGATTCATGACTACTGGCCTTGTTGCCCTCTGTGGATTATCATGCTTCCTGCTCAGCTTCACAGATAGTTTCAGGGACGAGAGTGGAAATGTTTGTCATGGGTTTGCGACAATCCATGGCTTATGGGTCATCGATGGGTCGGACACTCTTCCGCCTGCACTTGCTGAAAAGTATAGACTGCGTTTTATAGATTTCATGCATGCCTTCATGTCAGTATTGGTATTTGCAGCTGTGGCACTGTTTGATCAGAATGTGGTCGGCTGCTTCTACCCAACGCCATCAGTTGACACTCAGGAGATCCTCACAGCAATGCCAGTTGGGATAGGTGTCATATGCAGCATGTTGTTTGTTGTCTTTCCAACCAAGCGCCATGGAATTGGCTTCCCCTTGTCCACAAACTAACCTTTTCCTTGTTTCCATGGGATGTAAATGTAGTCCAATCTTTCCATAGTTGTAAAGTTCTTCTAATCCAAACACACTCACCATTTTTTAAATTTTGATCTCTTGTGTGAATCCAAATCATGAGACCATTCTTTGATATTGTTCTATTATCTTAGCCAGATGTAACAAGTTCATGTCACCAAACATCCAGTTGCTGAATTCAATAAAATGTGACCTTCGGAAGGGTCATGTATCTAGAAATTAATGATAAAAATAACACTTAATCAATCAGTGCTATATGATTCAGAATTATTGGCAATGGTAGAAACCCAGAGAGAGCATAAGAAAGAACTTATACAAATAAAGTAAGAACATGGTACCAAGCAAAGTCTACAAAATGCAGTCACCATGGAAAGTAGGGAGGACATTATATGTTAGTGATAATGCAATCACAGAAAGCTAGACATGCACATGTTAGTCTTTTTTTTTTTTTGAACGGCAAAAAATGGAATTTATTAAAAGCGGGGTACACAAATTATTCCAAACCCATAAACATCCCTAGACATACATATTTTAGGATTTGCTATATTACACGTGGGTAGCGAAAATTAACATCTGCACACTGTATATGCAATATTCATCTCAACATACAAATAATGTTCATCATGATTACTTTGTGAAACGATATATTGTTCAAGAGAGATTCAAAAATTCACGGTACTCACATTCCCTTACAACGACTTGTCAGATTAATGCAAAGAAACATACAAAAATGGAGTCACACTCATACCCAGGACGCAAAAACATTTGACATCAGTTAATTAGCAACATGTCTAACATCGAACCTTTCCAGCCAGATAGTTTTGGTACTTCTGTTGAAAGACCAGCTTTCACTGGAATCTTTCAACACAAAATAGAAACCAACAAACCGAGACAGCATGTTATCTAAATTTTAAATTCACATCCTAAGAGCCTTCTGAATTTCTAAATTAAGTGCACACCGCAAGTTTTTGAATTAAATGACAAGATTAAATATCTGGAACAATCAGTTAAGACATGGTATACTTCCCCAGCTACCAGTAAACTGCAAAGAGTCTCTTTTGAATCTGACCAGAAATACACAATCGTAGAACATAATAAAAATGAAAATATGCATGTCATTAAGAATTTCAGATGACAAAAAGAGACCATATTATAACAGGTTATGGGGGAGTCTGGGTAAGAGAAAACCCATACCAGGAGCATCTCCTTAATCATATTGCTTGGTCTTGCATTTCAATGCCAGGCTCAGCAATTATTTCAATCCGTCAGGACTCAGCTAGCTTTTTAATCTTCCTCTGATCACAAAATGCGAGTAATACAATCAACGTCCCCTCTTCTGGGGCACATCTGTCGATTACCAGTCATCAACTATTTGAGTAGCTTCTAGGAAGTCTCCTTTCTTATAAAAAAAAAATTGGCCAATAGAGTCATAAGTTCCAACATTGATTGAGATACCCCTCGTCCTCATACTTTGATACAATTGAAAAGCTCGATTTAAGCCACCCTTGGTATAAACGCCTGGACCACCATATTATGAATCCTAACACGAATTACTCCAAGTTAGTTGGTTTGGTGAGATTCCTCCAAGAACTATCTCATCAAGAAAGTCAGCAGTCTCCTCAAACTTTCTGATATGGCAGAAGATCTTCACATACAACCTTGCATCTGGTTTCAAGGCTTGAAGCTTCATCCTTTCAAGCATCTCCATTGCTTCTTGGAGCTTCCCTTCATTGCATGCAAAAATACCAAAATACTCCCTAACTTTCTAAGTTTGGTTTTAAATTTCCACATACTATATATGAAGTTGTAAATTTAAACTCTCGAAGCCCACAGATTGGAAATCTTAAGACCAATTTAACGGTAAAAACCTCAGAGTACTCACATAGCTAGTTACACTTCGTTAAAAATGCCATGTCACCTCTCTACATAAGTAAATTTTTCCATGCAAGCTTGTCATGATAAAGGGAAATTATTTTTATACAATTTTTTTATCCCACTTTTTTATACAATCTGACGTGTCATTTAAATAATTTATTATTTTAATTCATATAAGATCCATGATATTGAATGTATCCACTTATTTAATAATATGTGAAAGTTGTAGAAAAAGGTTCCTATGGTACCATCCCATGACAAATTAAAAAGCTTATTTATTGTCAAAATTACCTTTTTATCCTCCACTTCTCATATTCTCACACCTTAGTATGTTTTTCCTTTGTCAATCTAAAACGGTGGTTTAACCTAAAAGGAACTTCAAATGGAGATTGAACCCAGATCAAACTAGATGAGAGGAGAAATGGGTAAGGGAAAATTAAGGGTTTTTTAGGGTTTTTGCATTTGGATTAAAGGAAGAGGAGGAGAAGAAGAGGTCTCATCTTTCCCCATCCTCTTCCTCCCCTCTGCCCACCTCCTCCTTATCGTCCTTCTCTATCTTCATCTCTCTTTTTTCTTTTTCTTTTTTCTTTTTTCTTTTTTTATCAAAAGAATTAAGTTCTTGGGTTCTTTTCGCTCCTCCCTTTCTCCTCTCTCTTTTTTCATCTCTTTCTTTATATATATATATATACATGGTAACAAGTGAGAGAGAGATTGAGGAAACCTTGTTATATTTTAAAATCCGTCATTGAGAAATAGGAAAGGTTAAGGAATTTGTAACAAATAAATTTAACGATTTAATAGTACCTATAAACTATTGGAAGAGTGATCGAGTAATTTTGTTAGATCTTAAAAAAACCATTCTTGTGGTATATGATTGAATTTGTGAAAAGTTGTAAAAAGGGTTGAATTGTTCAACAAAATTATTGTAAATAGTTACCTTTACATGTGGAAGTTGGAGGAAAGCTTTGGAATCAAAAGCAAACTTTTAAATAGGCAGTTTGAGGATCGAATTAAGTACAAATTGTGACCGAATCACTATAAATCTTTATGCTTTGAGGTTTTTCTTCCCCCAACTTTTAATTTTTTCACTTTGAATTATTTGTTCACAAATTGTTTGTGAGTGTTCATTATTTTGCATTTGAATATTGCATAAAGTTTTTGAAGACTCAATTTATAACCCCTCTTGAGTTGTCATTATTTGGGCTAATTATGTAAAATAATATATTAAAACATATAAAATGCATCTTTTCAAGCTTGAATTTAAAAAGATTTGCTATTATTATTATTATTATTATTATTATTATTA